GGGCGGTGGGGTTCGACCTGCACCGGTATGCACCTCTTCCTCCTGACGCCAGGCAGTCACCTCCACCCCCATCTCGGAGGGTGGGGACAGGCCTGCACCAATATACACCTCCTCCTCCCAACCCTTATCAGCCACCCCCACCCCCACCAGGGGCGGTAGGGGCAGGCCTTGACCAGTCTGCACCACCAGTCACACAGGTTAGACCGTTGATACAGTCTCCTTCAATGGATGACTTGCAGAAAATCTCAAAATATGTACAACGCTTTGTTCCCGGACCTATGGGGTCAGCAGGAACAAAAGCGTATCTCAAAGATCTGGAGTTCAGATTGAGATCTTATCCTAATGCTACGGCAGAGGATAAGATCAGTCTGATACGGCTCACTTCGGACAGAGAGGTGTTCACCTTCATCGAGCGTCTACCTGATGCAACGAAGAGGGATTACAACCTTCTGTGTGAAGCTTTGATCAGGGAGTACGACCCCTGCACGGGACCTGCTGGTTTCCCAGCTGCAGACAAGGTCACGCAGGGTAAAAATGAACATCCAAAAGTTTATTACAAAAGAATCTTCCAAGCTTATTTTGGTAACAGAAATGAGACCGGAATGGAAGAAGATGATGGCTTTAAGTTTGTTTTCAGCAAAAATCTCCACTCTGATTTTAAAAAATCAGTACAAATGATGGCAAATTTCAGAGAAAAATCCATCAGTGAGATTAAGCAGTGTGCTGTGAATGTGTTTGAAGCATGTTCTCATGCTAAGACGCCCATAGAAGTGTTTCCTAGTGTAAAGGTTAAACCCCTCCCTCTTGAACTAGAAGGACGACGTGCTTCGCCGCCTCCTCCTAAGAAGAAAGAGAGAAAACAGTCTGTTCAAGCTAACAAACCGCGTCCTGAAGGTGCACGCTGGGACAAAAAGGCTCCTCTTTCAGAGGAAGACAGTGATTATCGAAAAAGGGGTGGGCGCAGGACGCGACGATATGAGAAACCATATCAGCAGGGGCAGTACGTAAAGGAAACCCCGCAAGACGTACCTGACCGTCCCCCACCTCGGATGAAACGAACCGAGGCGAAAAAATCACAAAGGTTCCAGAAACAAGGCCCTACACCTCTGAGCTCGGAAGAGACAGAAAAACTACGCAGGTTGTTAGAAACTTTGAAACACACTGACACGGGAACCCAACCAGGAGCACTTTGCAGTAATGTAATTCCCATTACATCTGAGGGCGCGAATGACAACATAACAGGTGTCGGTGGAACACACCAGGACATAACTGTTGTTGCCTCAAACAACCCCTCATCAGAGAAAGGGGGGGTAAACACACACACGAACGATGACGAGTCATCGCAGGCTGAACACTCAGAAACAGCTTCTGCTGTGCTGACGGTTCAGACAAACCAAGATTACACAGATAAGGCTGAACGCGTGAAAAAGCGTCAGAAAAAACCCAAGAGGTTTCTGTGTAACTTTATCAGAAAGGGGGTCGCCAAAAAGGCGTACCTGTCAGTAACACTCGAAGGTGTCCTCACACACGAAGCACTCTTGGACGGTGGGGCAGACATAACAATCATGTCAGCTAAACTGTTCGAGGAGCTGAGGACGGCCGCTGCCAGTGTTAACAGGATAATACCTCTCTCTGAATGTGCTATAGAAATGCAGGGTCTCTCAGAAATGAAAACAACCCTGACAGCTATAGCAATGGTTCACATGCAGATTGGCAATATGACACTGTACCACCCGGTACACGTGACTCATGTTGACTCATTCCCATTTTTGGTTGGCCAGGATTTTATAAATCGCTTCGGCGCGATTATAGATTATGGTGATCAAACAATGTGGACAACAGTGAGCAAGCCACTGCCAATCGATACGCCTCTGGAGTGTGACACAGACTGCCCAACAGCAGGTACCGCGGAAGGCGCACAGGACTCCTCAGCCGAGGACACGAGCCCGGTGAGTACTCCTCTGACACCATGTGAAACCAAAGAAACCCAAGAGGTCCAACCTCTGACTCAACAGGACAGCCTCCTTTGTGAGCTGGAGCAGTCAGAGTCCACCAAACACTACCTACCACTGGTAGTTAAGGGTGTAGAGATCCAAGGGTCCCACACCAACGATGCTGTACTGTCTCTGTGGACAGATAAATCAGCAATTAACCGAGCTTTCTACGAAACCTTGGTTCACAAACACGTTGGTCTAGAACTAATTAAAAAAGCTTTCCGCTTTCCATTAGTTCCCAATAGTTCACAGGTAATGACCGCAGAAGGAGTCATTAACCTAAAACTGAACTGGAA